CCGCCGCTCGAGCCCTTCGGGGGTCAAACCTCCCTCCCCCGCCGTGGGTCTCTTCCCTCGCTCTCTCCCACCGTAACACACCGAGATCTATTGTTGTGGCATCCACGGGGAAGGTCGTCCTGGCTGCCTGCCCTAATCCTAAAGCGCTTTGCAGAATTAAACTGATATAGAAACCTTATTTATAATCATAATGCAGCAAAACCCAGATTATCTGCACCCTTCTTTACTTCTGGAGTAAACGAGTTGATGGTGTGGAGCTGCAGGGCCTCGTAGCCCCCAAAAGTCTCTCTTTGCCTCCTGTGCAGTTGATAGATTTTCCTGTCAATTTATTGGTTATTTATCTAAAGGTATCAGGCAACTTCTAGACTTTTAGATGACCATTTCCTTCTCAGCTTGTGCTTTTTTGGTGTTTACGGTGCCCTGTGCCTTGCGGGGCTCCTGAATCCAGACAATGAGAGCAGGGAAAGGCAGGTCCCCACCCACCTGTTTTTTGACTCAGGGTTCCCATTGATCAGGTTCCATCCTCTCCCTTCTGCTCATTCCCTCTGGGACAGCACTGTCATAGAAGCCTGAAATGGTTTGAGTTGGAAGGGACCTTAAAGTTCATCTGGTTCCACCCTCTGCCCTGGGCAGGGACACCTTCCATTAGACCAGGTTGCCCAGAGCCTCATCCGACCTGGGAGCACACTTCAGGGATGGGGCAGCCACGGCTTCTCTGGGCAACCTGTGCCAGGGCCTCCCCACCCTGGCAGCCAAGAATTTCTTCCCAATATCCCAATCTAAACCAGCACATGGAATCCTGAAGTGGTTTAGGTTGGAAGGGACCTTAAAGCTCATCCCATCCCACCGACTGCCACGGGCAGGGCCACCTTCCACCAACCCAGGTTGCCCAGAGTCCCGTCCAACCTCACACAGAGGTGACGGTGGCGTTGCTGGTTCTGGTGTGACAGGAGCACCTGTGGCTGTAGGAGGAGCTGAACTGGAAGCTTGGAGTCATTTCCCTGGGGATAGGTGCCTTGAGGAAGAGGTTTGACTTTGCATTTATAAACAACATCCACTAATAGTGGTCTGGCAGAACCTTGGGGGAGCCCAGATAAAATCAGCATTGTTGCTTTGCTGGGAGAGTCTGCGGGGTCACAGGAAGAGGGGGGAGGACAGGGGCTCCCCAGCCTTCCCTGAACCACACTCTGCTCCCAATAACCATCCCAGTCTGGCACATTCCAGAGCCAGAGCTCCCTGTGCCGTGGCTGCCAGAGGGACACTGGACATTGGGACACAGAGCTCAGCCTTTGGGGCAGGTGGATGAGGGATGTACCGGTCCCTCATACCCACTTCTTGCTTACTCACCTCCTTGCAGCTCTGTGGTGTGATTCCAGGCAGCTGGAATGAACAGGGATTTGTTCTTCCTGTACTCCATGCTCCGGTGTGTGGGCTCTGACCACAAATCCCACAGGTCACTGATGTCAAATGAGTGAATGAACATTGAAGGGACAAAACTGGAGCTTGGGATTCCTAGAAGTCCCTGGGCCTGTGACTAACATCCCTCTTTCTCCTTAAAATCCCTCCCATCCCTGTAGTTCATCCCATGGAGATGCTCCAGGGCGGCTGCAGTGTCTCCTCTCTCCCAAACCAACACGTGGGTTTATGGTCTCTCCTGACTCCTTTTATTTATACACATTCCTTGTCTTTCCCTGGTTTATGATTTGGGGATAAACTGGTACAAGCCCTTGATTCCTGTTGCCTCTTCCAAGTCCTCTGCGAAGCCATGAAGGCATAAAGATATTGAGGGCCTTTTCTGATGCCAACCAGGCTTTTCACTCAAATTTTAACTGGATATTTAACAGTTCCAATGTTATTGGGAATAATTCCCTGTGTCCCTGCAGTGAATTTTACACCCTTTGTGTGATTTGTGCTTCAGTAATTCCGTTGTCTGTCCCTCTGAAGGAGAGCCCTGGCCTGCTGCTGTGCCCCTGGAGTTCTTCCCTTGGATTTATTTTCCTGGGATTTATTAATAGTACCTTTTTAGTTTAGTATCTCAGGTTTTGCTGAGCTCTGGTTTTCTCTCTCAGTCAGATTCAGAGGAAGATGAACCAGCAAAGAAGAAAAATACTCTTCAGGTAAATACCGAGGGCACTCAATTGAACAAGTGTCACGGGAAAAAGCGTTTGACTGTGACCAGTCTTGGCCTTCCACTCATGTGAATCAGCCACTCTGATCAGCTCATGGCTTTGGGGATATTCCTGAAATCCTGTGGGGTGTCAAGTCCCTTTTTTGGGCAATTTAAATCTTGGAGAAAGAGGCATCAGTTTGGGAGTTGGACAGATGCTTGCCAGTTTCCCTTCAAAGCACCCCTGGCCTTTTGTGCAGCCAAGTGTTGGGAAACCCAGGAGTGTTGTAAGAATTGGGGGGGATAATTAGCAGATAATCAGGAAAAGTAAATAGTCTCACTCTTTTCTCTTATTCCTGTGATCCACTTGTCCCGCCCGGATCTCCCCAGGGACGCGGCGAGGGCTCGGGCTTGTCCGCTCTGCTTCCTCAGCCCAAAAACCTGACAGTGAAAGAGACCAACCGGTTACTCCTGCCCTACGCCTTCTCCAGGAAGGCGGGAGACAACTCCGACTCCAAGCCTGCCAAGGCCCCGACCTCGTCCTCCTCCAAAGCCAAACCCGCGGCCAAGCCGGCCGTGCCCACCACTCCGTCCCCGTCGGCCATCAAAGCCGCGGCCAAGAGCGCGGCGCTGCAGGTAACCAAGCAGATCACGCAGGAGGAGGAGGACAGCGACGAGGAGCTGGAGCCGGAGAACTACTTCTCCTTGTCCGACAGGAGCGAGCCCAGCGCCGCGGCCGCC